TGTTGTAATTGGTCAGTGACCTTGGTAACACACGAGCTAGTAATGATCATGCTACCACACTGGCGTGTGCGATCGAACTTCCGGGGTCGTGCTAGGACCTCTACTAGTACTAGCACTGGCAATTAACACAGAGATAAGATAGTAAGAGAGCCAATAATCTGCTAGTAAAGAGCAGGGCAAATCTTGCTTTAGGGCCTCTGACTGTGGAGGGTGTAAGGATAAGGTTATATTAGTGTTAGGATTATTTTATCACTAGAAGTTTTTTTTCACTAGCCACAGCCATGACAAGTCGCAGAAGTAATACAAGGGTCAGAACATAAAGGAACGTGGTTTCAGTCTGACAGAGTATAGTGCAGCTGTTGGCAGCCGTACTATCAAATTAAACAATGTCATTTTAGGACCGATCACTGCTATTGCTATACAATCTACATGAACAATTACAATCTACAATCAGTGTCATGTGGGGTCCTTCATATGGTATTTTGACTGTGTCAAGTGCAATAAATACTAGTGGCATAATTATGTTAAAATTATCTATAAATTTCTGTTTATTATGTTTTGCAGTGGTGGATGAGGGTACGCTCCACGGTTCCACGAGCTTCGGATGGCCCTTGAAGATGGGGTTCCAGGAGCTATTGTCAGTGGCACCGTAGGACGTCAATGTATGTGTTCCTGCAGGTTAAGCAGGTTTAATTCATAATGCAGTGGTTTATGATGTCTGATGTTATTTGTATTCGTAGCATCCGTGATAGCAGTTGTATTTCTCACTTCTGTCGAACAAACAGTGGCGAACCTGGATTTTGCATTTTTACTGTTTGAAACGAGTTCAAGCAACTGAAGCTAAAAAAGTAGGTCATTCTTGATAAAGAAATAATATCTCCCCTAACACTACATCTGGTGCAGTGTAAAAACGTTTTATCATTCTCTACATTCACTTTTTCTAGCATCCTTTGAAGTACGGGTGAACAATAAAGTGATGTTCTCCAAATTGAATACCTATGGCTTCCCTTATGAACAGGAGGTAAGTCTTAGGATACCTAACGACATCTAATCCTACAGCCCCCCCCCCCCGTTTTTGCCTCCAGTACTCCTTTCCAATTCTTATAGCCCACCTGACATCATTAGAAACAGCTAATAGAATTCTAGGAGCAGGTTTAACTGCAGCGTTCATATTTGGCACATTCTTAACGGTTCTGGTCAAAGCTAGAGGTAAAGAGCCAAGGCAGGGAAGGAGAGTGACACCTTGGGTTAAATTTGATGTTTAATTTTTTCGAGAAAAGTATACTTGTAAAAAAATTTTCAAGTAGATTTTCGCTACAGAATTGATTTTAATGTAGTTAAAAGTACATAACTCAGTGACCTAGTCAGATGGTAAAATTAAAGTATAGGATTGGCATAAAGGAAGTAAACAATTGTGGTGCAAACTTAACCACCACATTGCATTCAAGATGGGTATGAAAAGATGCATCCTTGGTGTTAAAGCCTCACAATGCGCATCCAAACGCTAATTTCTACAGTACTAGACTAGCAAATACTCCGTGGCATGAATAATCACACTACCTTATGACAAAATAAACTCTAGTGCTTCCCATTTCACTGCGCGTTGTCTTATAAAAGGTATTTGACAATATCACATTTTTTTTCTTATTTCGAGCACTGTGTAAGTGTGCACAGTGCAGCCGCGAGAGCAATGCCAATGGCCGCCGGCAGCGTATGTTGTACAGATAGGATTTGGACGGAATTTACAGGAAACTGTCGGCAATAATACTAGGTGAAAGAGAGTATAGAAACATTAAGAATCTGGTAGTAAATAGATTTCGTATTTATTTAGCATTATATTTTATTGAAACGCTTCAAGTGCCTGTGGCTGCGCCAGCAGCAACTGTACGCGGGCTATAGTTACTAGAGCTAAGACCAGTGCCACTGGACGCTCACCTAACTCATTTATAGTACTCATAATAATATTAATATGAGCCATATTACTCGGTCATCTGCAGCCTGCAGGCTCCGTGGCTCTCCCCAGTAATTTTAGAAGAGTTTAACGATTGGAGTCGATTACGTGTGTCATCAGCGGGCCTATACGTAAACTCTTGTTACTTTTATTTCGGAGACGTATACATGATCTACTACTAGCCACAGTTGTCACTAAGTTTGCCAACTTTCAAAAATAGGGTATCCCTTCCCGCAGTATATATAGCTCGCATAGGTGCTAAACCAATCTGGGGGCTTAACTAGGATTGGGCCAAATAGCTTCTTTCTAGATTGTCTGGTTATGACATAAATGCCGATCAAAGTAAATACTAGTCGAGCTTGTCTGTCGTCAGTGAGAACATACTTTCAACATGTAACAAGTCTGGTCAAATGTGGTGATGCCATTATTTTATTTACGAAAATTTGAAGCTTGATCTCAAGTTACAAACGTTTTTTGCGTTGAAGGGTGAGAGGCTCATGCGACGTGTAACAGTCGCAGAGCTTGGTCATGCTATAAAAAAGAGCATATAATTCAGCCACATTCATTGTCGTGATAGCTGCTGTGAAAATAGCGCCACAGACACAAGTGCATCTTTTCATGCAAAAACTGCTCACTTATGTACAAATTGATCATCTTTGTTAATTAATTTGTTTAACCAATGTAATGTTTTCAAAATGCAATTGACAGAAGTGTAAGTAAAGTGATTGATTGATAAAAATGTCAATTCAACAGTGGTTTCGGTAATCATGCCCCCAGATGTGATTTTAGCGGATGTGATGTACGCTTTTAGCCACAAGAAACAATGGCTGCAAACTTTATTAAATTTGTGCATAAGTGTCAAGTTATTGCATCTTTCACCCCACACTATAACTCTACCTTTAAAGCACTATCACTTCTGCAGGAAATGCAGTGTAGTCAGAATGAGAAGGTGACCAGATAGGTTATGTACATGATGTAACACACTACTCTGGACTTCTCTTCCTTCTTTAGTTAATTGTAAAATTGAAGCTTGCTGTTGCAATCTGTAGTGTTGATCTATCAATTTGATCAACCTTGTTTTATTACAGAGCCCGTCGTCCCCGAAAATTAATCTATATATGAGGTTATGGGGTTACTTGCTGGTAGTGTTCAGCACATGAGCAGCTATTGAATCTGGTCAAGTAACAGGGTCTCACATTTTTCTTTCAAACATGAAATATGATATAATAACATAATTATGACATGCCCTTATTTAAACAGTAATAACAATTTATTAAGTTTAATACTATATAAGAATAGGGGGGTAGGAGTGTTACCGTGTCCACTTCAGCATGCTTCCATAGCATCACATAGCATAGAATTGTTGTAATTGGTCAGTGACCTTGGTAACACACGAGCTTAAATAGAGCTAGTAATGATCATGCTACCACACTGGCGTGTGCGATCGAACTTCCGGGGTCGTGCTAGGACCTCTACTAGTACTAGCACTGGCAATTAACACAGAGATATGGTGTGATTTTTTAGTGGAGCTCTCCATCATGCCTCTTAAGGGTGTGATTATGGAGCGTGAAAAGACCCCTATGGTGTCCTAGGGGAGTCATTAGTAGTCCTCCTGTACTTTTCAAATCTGAAAGCCTGGTGTGTATAAGAGTATATATTTTACTATATATGAGACTCTCATATATATATATATTCATATATTCATTCATATGAATATATATATTCATATATATACTCTCATATATATACTCTTATACACACTACGGTAGGCGCAGAACGGGGTTGCTATTTATCGAACACCGACCTCGTGGTTTTTTTTCCTAGGTCAATCAAGAACATAGGGCTCTAGTGAGCCCTGCCATTGGTTGACAAATCACGTGCCTCCAACTCCTGTTTTGTGGTGCATTGTGACCCTAACCCCTGCCCTAAACCTAACCCTATTTTAAAAAATATATAAAAAATTAAATTTTTAATTGTTGTAAAAATTAATTGTTGTTATTAAATTGTTGTAAATAAATCATGTAAATATTTGCGTTAATTGGAAAAAATTGTTAAACGGATAAAGATAGAAAAATACAGAAAACAGGAAAATAATTAAAAAACGGATGGGATTCGATCCCCCGACCTTTCAGCCTTGACTTGCGTGCTGTATTCGCTCGGCTATTGAGGTCTATTGGAATTATGGATTTTGGATGTGCTATGAATATGACGACACTGTGACATCATTGAGCGACGAAACAAGCTCAACCAATAGCAGCGCTCACTAGAGCCCTATCAGTATCATCTATGTTCTTGATTAACCTAGGAAAAAAAATCACGCACCGCGACCAGCCAGTCGCGAGTGCCTGTGGTTAACTTTAGGCGAGCACATGCGATGCTTGCTTTGCTAGGACCTCGAAACGCGCAAACACACCAAAAAATATTTACCACCTCACAGACATTTTTGGTTAGGGGAAACACTGTATATATCTTTGGACAGGCTAAGGCCGGCTTAATGCCCCTGTACTCAGAGCCTGTAGTCCGCAAATGCAGATATGTTATAACTCCGCTTTGCTAATCTGAGGGTGCGGGTTTATCGCCCCATTACTGGGGTCTGCGTCGGCTCGGACTAATGCCCATGGACCCTGGTTTTTAGTAAATAGAACACTGATCACGGATGACCTTTCTTTCTCGAACTTTGGCCGTTTGTTTAATACAGTACCTAATAGTAGGCCAATCTATTACTTACTTTACTTAGTAGGTATCTAACTTGTCGCTAACACAGTAAGTGTAACACTAACAGTAACAGTAACAGTTTTAAATTCGCAGTGGCTGGAGGTACGCCAGCCGTCGGTCTTTCAAGCCCCTTTTTTGCGTTAGGGTTAGGGTTAGGGTTAGGATTAGGGTTAGGGTTAGGTTTAGGGTTATGGTTAGGGTTAGGTTTAGGGTTAGGGTTA